ATCAGAAAGGTTTCAGATTTTAAATTACGTCCAAAGGGGCGTTTTTTTAACGTTTTGTGTGTTACCTTTATTTATAAAATATTACGTTCTTCGCACTTAAACCATAAAATTCAGTTCAAGAGCAATATCGCAAAACAGTTTTAAATGGGGTCTTATCTTTAGAATTTCTGATTCAGAGTCTTGCGCGCCGGAGATAAAGATGTTTTTTCTGTACAATGTTGCCATTGCTCTCTTTGAAATTCTCGAGTTTGTTAATCAAAAATTCGTTAAAGTTTTATAAAATAGGAAATTGATAATAAAACAAATTCCAAATTTCAAATTTGGGCTTCCACATACCCACATTCGCAGTAGGATTACGTCATTCAAAATTGGATGGCTCTGTGTACCGTTGTTTTATCACAATGCGAGAAATTATACATACATTTATACAGATTTTTCATTATTTAATTTCTTCAAATATAATGCAGGACTCTTAACATTCGGTGAAATGTTAGAAAAGTGAAACGGACGTTTATAGTGATTCAACGCAAAACGAAAACAAGTCCTTCAGGGACAAAGCATTTTTGGACTGAAAAGCTAAAATTATTGATTCGTTTATATGATGCTGCGCGCAGCACTTATTCCAGTATTACGTGGATGACAAAAAGGTATTTTATTTAAAATATTTTAATATTTGGAATATAAAATGAAAGTAACAAATACATTACCAACGATATCGAAATAAATATACAAAGTTTCATCTCATAAAGCAGTTATAAAGACAACGAGCTTTAAAATGTGTTGCATTTTAGGGGTATTTTGACATTTTAAAGGCACTTGACTCCTTAAGGTATTTATCATTCTTTACACGTTAACATATTATTATTATTTTTATAGTTAACGTGCGCAACCTCCAGTCCACCTAGCCGGCATAAGCCGGCCTTATGACTAAAAGGACGACCGACCGATGCATGTTAACATACACGTAATATAAACATTTTGTTAAAATTTATATTTTTTGCAGTCCAATAACTTAAAATTTTACAACGTAAATTAATAATACAAATTGCTGTACTGTATTATTGAAAGATAATCAAGATGTGATTTTGTGCGTGACTGCCACAATACTATACAAACTACTATTATCCATCCAAGCATTAAATGTTTTTTGTGCGTAAGCGTCCTTACTTTTCGATATGTGCTCCAGTGTCGTGTGCGCAAGTACCACTAAATCTTTCCAGTGTATTCAAGGGTTCCTCAAGCAACTTCGGAGCTCGGGAACCCTGGCGGCGGCTGGGTCTGTCAGCAACGTAATCCCTTCTGCTAAGGGCTATTTCGAAAACTGATTTCACGCAGTTTTTCTTCAATTAGTGTAAGTTATTCTACTGATTATTATTTTAGTTGAAACATTATTCTGTAGACTGACAGAAAACACAATAAGGGATGGAATCAGGGATTTGTGATTTTCATGGGAATCTTAGACTTCTCTTTCCATGACACAATCTCTTGAGACGACTTCGAATTTTTAATTGTCCACATACCGAGAAGATACATGCATTATTTCCTGCTATAATTCATCATAAAACCATGCTTGCTTCATTAAAATATCTTTATTGTCTTTGTTAAAAACGAAACGAGAATCGTAATTATATTAGCTTTTCCCCAGCTGGTTGAATTTTACTTTCTGTTAGGTTTATTTTTATTTTCACTCTATAGGGTTCAGCAATTATAATCTGATTAAAAAAAGACGAAAACACGGAACCTCTAATATCAGAATAATTCCTCTGCGTAAGTGTAAATAAATGATAAAGAAATGTGATGATTCGAAAAAATAAATTAATAAATAAATAAAAGCTAAAATCTTTCAAAGAATTACAATAGCTAAAGATTAATTTGAACATAATTTTCATTATAAACCTATAACAACTTATCTTAAGTGCTAATTTCAGTTGGTAGAAGGTAGTATAAGAGTTATCATAGAAAAAAATTATAAAAAAACGTAATAATAATAGTCATCATTGATGAAATTACCTGCTCATGGAACAAAGAATGCAAATTAGAGCCAGTCAAAAATTTGCAACCGAAGTAATTCAAAATCTAGTGGCGACATCTATTGGCTGCTATAGCAATCATTTATAATTGTAATTGTGGTTCCAAATAATTTCTCTTTTAAATCCCTTTTCTATTTCGTGTCAATGCATTTAAATAATATCTTTTGGAATTTAGTAACTTTAAAACATTATCTTAAATTGTTTTATTTCAGACAAAATTAAGTATTTTTCGACTGTTCTTTTTCTTTTAATAATTATTATTAACCCGAAGGGACAATTTGCCCAGAAGAGCTATTAATTTCGTTTTGGCATTTTGCGTCGTCCACTGTAATCACTTTTCAAATTGTTGCTACCAAATATTAGAGCACTGCATTATATTTAAACAAATTAAATAATGAAGAATCTGCATGAATGTAAGTATGCTTATCGCACCGTGAAAAATCAACGGTACCTAGAGACGTCAAATTTTGAATAACGTAGAACTATACTCGAATACGGGAATCTTGAAGCCCAAATTTAAATTTGGAATTTATTTATTATCTATTTCATATTTTGTAAAACTTTAACGAATTCTTGATTAACAAACTCAATGACTTCAAAGCGAGCAATGGCAACACTGTACGGGGGGGGGGAGAGAAAACATTTTTTCTATCTTCAGCGCGCAAGACTATGTATCAGAAATCCTAAAGATATGCTCTTCTTAAACATTTTGTGATATTGCTGTTGAACTTAATTTTACGTTTTAAGTGCGACGTACATGATATTCAATAAATAAAGGTAGCTCACAAAGCGTTAAAAAAAGTCCATTTGAGCGTAATATCAAATCTGAAAGCTTTCATATTTTATTGAATTTTTATTTATTTGTTTATTTATAATGGGAAGGAATAGTGTTTCAATTCAGAACAAATCCTGAAGAATAAGACGAACTCCGATACTTTAGTCTGTAACTGAATCTCAGCACTACCGAAAATGCTGTTATTAATACTTTTATTTAACAGCTAGAAAGTCAGTATTCGTATTAGTTAGAAGGCATGTTTCACTATATATATGACGAAAAACCTGGAATCTGGAGAAGAAATGCTTCATATAAAAACAAAATATTACCAAGAGTGGGAATATTTAAGAGGTTTACCAGCCTTCAGATAATCCTAATTTTTATCCGTTTGATCAAAAAGGCTTTAAAATGATTAGAAGCCAAAATAAGGAAATATTTATAAAAAACAGTCGCCTCTCCCTTAGAATAGTATTTACCTTTCTGTAATCCACGATACCACATCTTGCTATCATTAATTTACTCATCTTTTATTGGTTTTATTATTTCATTCAATTTTTGAGATAAGTTATTTTAGTTCCGCTTATTAGGTACCTCTCTGCAAAAGTTTTAACCCAGTCTTTATTTTCACAACCGTTGGTCGTAGACATACACTTCTCGCTACAAAAATACCGAGTAGCCTCAGAACGTTGAAATTTTGTAAACAGGTCTGGTATAACATGTATATGTGCACCTCGTATTTTGGTTGCAATCGCCTGCACCGAACTTATATATATATATTGAGCAAAGGAATACAAGGCCTATGAAAATTCCTCCTACTGATGGGTTCATGTTTTGGCAAGGGAATTTTCTTCCTCAGCTCGAAATTTCTCACACATTCCCGTCCATCCTGTATTCTACTTGTAGTATAATAATATCAGCTTTACTAACTGATAAATAAGATCGGCCATTAATATTTTCCGTTAACAGTATTTTCTGTTAATACTGCGATTCAGATGTACAAGAATTTGTGTTGCAGTGTGAAACTCCAGTGTGCTATGGCTGGAATTACGACTTCACTCAAAACAGATTACCTGGACCTGCTGAATCAAGCCTCCACCACAGCGAAATTTTAAATGCCTTGAAATGCATGTTAAATAACCCTCTGAAATTCATAATTTACAACAGGTCATGGCAAAGGAAAAATTTTTCCTACATATCGTAAACTATTTACCAGTTTTCTTTTGCAATATGTGTATTAAATGTCTTGTGTTTTTATCTTTATATTTACAGCATATGCCTCTGAAGTTTTATCATTAAAATGATGATAAATTACTATAAAAATTACTTCAAAAAAGTTTCATTCTCTCAACTATTTAATTTCATTGCGAAAACAAAGTCGACAAGTTAATAATCAAATTTGTAAAAAGCGAAATTTAAAAGTAACATGACAATAAATTAGCTACTTAATAATTCTAAAACAAAAAATAAGAATTCTGTTACAAGGTGTAAGAGAATTGATGGTCATAACTTAAAGATGGGATAGAACACGACAAAAGTGACAACTTTCGTAATCCATTCCGTGGTGGAAACACAATAAATATGAAGAACATGGAAAAAGAAAAGTCCTTTTATTTAACAAGGAATAATATTTGATACTAAAAAGAGTTATTCAAATGAACAACCTCCAACTGTAATACATATATAACAATGACGACGAATTTATTGGCATACACTTTAGTGTCCGACATGTCACGCGCTTCAGAAGTAGCGATGCTGATTCAGGCGACAAGATCTTCCGTAGCGTCAATCTGTATCTCTAAACATGACTCATTATCTTTGCGATGCGCATATTGCAGTTGCTGCTTGTTTACTTGAACAATTCTTATAAATATCAAACATTATCGTAAATATCCGTGTTTAAAACGATGTTTAAAGCTTTGAGTGTGTGACGTCACTGACTTATAATTTTCTCCATGCAAAAATTTTAAATACGAACTAAATGCAATTATGCTTCCTTTTTTCCCATTTCTGTAAATCAAGTAAGCCACTGAATTCGCCCATTGAGAAGAGCATAACTTTGTCTGATGACCGTGGTTGTTACCATCGATCCTGTTATAATCTATATAAAAATATGTTATATCAAATAAAGCACTTTTATTGTCAATTATCAGATAATTTTGAGTCAAAACTAAAAAAAAGTACGAAACACTAAAATTTTGAAAAGTTTATTTAAGCATATTAAAGATTTCATACATATAATACGACTACATCATCAACAAGTTTTAATAGATAAGCAAAAAGGGAAAAAAAAAGAATATAATTGGAATAATAATAATAAAATATAAATTAAATAAACAAGATGAAATACTTCTCATCATATCGGTCTTATACTCGTAATAGGTCATCAACAAGTGCATGAGTAAGGGCATTATACATCGGTTTCATGTACCTAAATAAATAATCACTTTGATTAATATGCGTGCAATTATCGGTTAAATACTTCTATGAATTGTTCACTATAATTATCACACTTTAATCTAAATTGATTTAAACTGTAAATTCTTTAATTATACCAAAATAATTTTTTCTCAAACAACTAGAAAAATATAAATGAAAGTGCATTTTTTTCTCAGAATTAAAAATACCTGGCAGAAAAGAATAGATATATTCCTTTCTGCCAGTTAATATATATATATAATATGATAAATACAGATAGATATTTCATATATATATAATATGATAAATGCAGATAGAAGGGAGAAAAATAAGCATTGCGTGTGAACAAACCGTGGTACAGGGGCACTGTTGAGCAGTGGGTTCTGCTGGCATAAATTATCATTTCTCACGTAGATTTCGCGCGGTACGCATCACCACACAAACACGAAGCTCATCGTTATATATTTTATCTACAAGGCTGCGGATAAAATGGAGCAGCTACGCAAAGGAAGTACTCGTGTATCACTCTCTGTACCACATATTTTGAAGAGAGATTTATTTTGGAGTGGGAATCACTAAAAATCAAGGATGCCCTCTCCGGAACTTGAGCTGTGGATCTTCCGATTACTAGCCGAGCGTGCTTTTAAATTACATCATGAAAGTGAGCGATATGGAATGAGAAAACTCCTTACATTACCATCCATTTAAAAAGCGACTGGGGAGGAGAGAACCCAGTCAGCAAATCCTGGTGGTGACGAATTTTATCTTCCACCGCATTGCAGTTTGGTTACCATTTGTCATCATTTTGAAGTCGTGAAGCTTGACATCATCGTAACATGCTATGGAGAATCAGTTTCACCTTTGCCAGAATTTGGATTTTCCCGAATGCCAGCCAGACATGGCTTTCGATCATACCGCGATGGCACGCGGTAAGAGATGAACAAACCCTGTACAATTTTAATGATTGATTTCAAGTTTTGCCGAATAATTTTCCGTGGTCACTCCGTCCACAGGTATTAGAAAGACCTCGGTCTAACCCATCTGCTCACCAGGAATGGACGTCGATTTGCGGTGAACGAAAGTATTAACTTATCCCAAAGCAAAATGCACTGATCCATCAAGCAGTCATCCAGTATTGTAACACATCGCTCTTAAAGGCTTCAAAAGAAAGTCTTGATGATATTCTCGAGCTTTTTTGTTACTGAGCATTTGGATAATAATCCACAGTCGCTGATCGGATTTGATAAACACGCTTTAGGCGTACTTAAACCACCACTTCATCACTTGCCTCGAAATGTGACCACCAGCAACACTTCGATGAAATATCTGCTTATGGCATGGAGATAGAAACAGCCTGTGCCAACACTGCTTTTGGTCCTTCGATTATTACCATGGCTTCAGCTAATGAGCATGTTTCTAGCTGGCCATATTACCAAGACTTTATTTACAGCAACGTATTAATGGTGCAAGACTTTAGGCGGATAGCGATTCTATTTCTAGCTAAGGAACGTAAGAAATACTGTTTTCCTATTCAGTACTCATAATATGCACTGATTATAAACTTATCTTTATTTGAGTTATCAGTTCTTAAAATTAAATGTAAGAGAGTTTTAAAATATAGTTGAATAGCGTAAATCCTACTGCTCATCAATAAAGATTGAACAATACATTTACATATTTTGGAAATTATATATTTACATTTTGGATGCCATTAAAATATGCTAAAAGGTTTAAAGCAGTCTATCTAGGAAAATCTAATTTCAGTATAATTATATAAAATGTAAATACAACAACATATTTACTTGTTGAAAAGTGTCCTCTCTATTTTCAACTGGTTGAAAATTGTTATCGTTCTCTATATTTGCTTTCAGCTGGTTTTCCTGGTTATTTCCATCCACGGCTCCATGGGCTTCATTGCTGTCGCAACTTATATCTATAACTATGTCATCCACGGCAGCTTCAGAGGAAGAAATGCCTTCATTTCTATTATCCGTCTTCGGTCCACTATTTTGATAGAAGTTTGGATCCCATCTTTTCGAATTCTCTTCTGAGTTCACAAAAGGCCTGTTACCGTATGCTGAAGGGTATCTAGGGAGCTCAGACGGCGGCATAGAACACTGAAAAGGCATACCGTGCACTTTAAATTCCCAATCCCTTTCCCTATAGAAAGGCTCCATTCTGGGATAGTGATATGGGTTTCGTTCCACAGAAGGTGGATTCCAGTATATGCACGGACTCGGTACATATGGGTATTCCAGTTGGCCGTTGGGGTGAATGGTACCGTAAGAAGTAAAATCTGTTCTATTGAATGGTGAAGAAGAAAAATGATAGGATGATAGTGGCTTCTGAATATCTTCCCAATTATGACTCTGAGAATTTATATTATTATCCAATTCCGAATTTCCTCGAATTAAAGTAGGGTATTTTTCTCTGTAGCCTGTAGAAAAAATATTTGCATTAAAAATTATCAGTTTAAACAAATACTTCAGATATTAAATATAAATCGGGTCATTAAAGGGTACCCAAAAGACTTTCTGTGAAGTCCTATATTTTAATAATTAAATGTATGGCAGTAATATTTTGTTGATTACGTGCTTACCTTTACGTTTACAACTATGTTACCTTCAGTTACTGTTACATACATATACTTTCTGCCGAACAGATATGCTGATATGAGCTGTATGTGGAAGAGCAGTCTACCAACAACGAACGAACTATGTTCCGGAATGCTCTCAGCCAAACTGCGATGGGCATTAGGCAGATAGCTCTTGTGAGCTTTTTTGATGAAATAATATTACTGAATCCCCCTTCCCTTATTATTTGGCAATACTATTTTTAAAAGTTATTCATAAGAACATGATTTATCTTTTTTATCCTAAATTCTTGAAAGATTCAATATGATGCTACTGAGCTAATCGTAGCTGTTTAAGTTCATAATTATTTTAGATGCTAAAGTAAAATAAACATGCAAAGATAAGACTACAGTTTTTTAATTTATGATCTTTATTATTTTTTAAAAAATTTAATGCATTTTAACTTTTTGAGATTTTAATTGTAAACTCTTCGAGGCGTGAAACTGTAATTTGATATTTTTATATTCCAATTTAATTAGTTAATTGTTGTTTTCTTTACATATTTGTTTTCAAGTCTCTTGCACTTCCGAATAGATTTAGGCGTTGTTACGTGCATATAGGCGTCGTTCTGTGAAAAAGTAACTCTGTTTCGATAAACTGAAAATTTTCAGAAGCAAATAAACTTTAATTAGTAAATAAGAGCTGTCTTGCCTACTTATTGGTAGGGAATAAGCAAATGAAATGCATGGTTATCATTCCCTATGGTATTCTAATTCAGATCGTGCGCTTGTGAATTGCAAAACTGACGACACATTCTGTGCTTTTATTCACCCACTCATTCCCATATCAGACAAGAACCTATATGTTGTTTTTGAAGTAACAAAAATTTGACGAACATCCTGTTATTTATCTAATAAATGCTTTTTGTTATTTTCAAATTTGTATTTTTTTACTGCAAAACTTCATAGGAAATGAACTAATTTAATTATATTACGGTTGTTTTAAAAGGTGTTTCTCCCGCCTTCTGAGCATGTCTTCGTGGTGTAGCAGTCAGCACGCTCGGCGCGTATTTGAGAGGTCTGTGGTTCAAATCCCGACCCCGGCATTGCTCATTTTTCATCTTTCCTGCTTCAAAATACCTAATATCTCTACTTCAAAAATACCTAATATCTCTATCTACAGTTTACATGCTTCAAAAATACCTAATATCTCTATCTACAGTTTATCAATGAAGAAAAATACAAAAGAATCGCTTTCAATGTTTTCATTTAAATAAAAATGTTCAGAAACGGAATAAAATTCCAGTAACAATGCAATAGGTGGGAGAAAAAAGGAATAGGAAGGGAACTGAGCAGGTTGAGTAACGCAATGAATTCCTTCGAGATATTTGGTTAAATTAAACAATGCAAACTTTTATTGTATATTAATTGACTATACATGCTTGCAGAATAAATCATAACCCAGAATATAGGGTAAGGTTGCTATCGATGGGCTGGCTCTTGCTCTGAGCCAACTCTGTTATTTTCTAATTATTGATAGTAGGCGCTATCTGTTGACTGCATAGTATACCACATGAAACTTGAAAGCCGCCATCTTAATTGGGAGTTAATCCACTTTCAAACAAAGTTGCTTTATAAGAAGATAAGATTTTTGTACTTTTCTTCTAATTTATCAATTTAAAGAAAATAAGATGTCTATGAAACGTTAATAGTGTTTTAGTTGTTAGTGATAACATTTAAAACTATGCTCAGCTAGCGTTATTTGGCTGCAGTAACAATGGATTGTTATAACCGAAATTACGGATGTATTACAATACCGACTGGTAGTCGCCTTCAATGAGTCATTGCTATGAATGGGTTAGTGGTCCAACCATGGAAACCATATCGAGGCTAATATTTTATAACCTTTTCAAGTTGAAGAATAAAATGTTACTATATCTGATTTCGTAAAAAGCTATCAGGAGTAATTAAATCTATAATTAGATAATGATCTCAGTTTCTTTGTTACAAAAATAATGATAAGAGATTAGTCCAATTTTAATCTAAACCGGAGTATCCCTAATTCGTGTGTAAAATGAATATTTTATTGAAATTATCGTAATGATTTTCATTACTTCTTGGATAAATTATGCCCGTTTGTTGTTTTAATATTATATTTTCACATTAAATAAAGTAAGAAACATGCACAGTGTAGTCAGAAGATTAACAAATTCAATGGTAGGGTAGCGCAATTCTTACTGTTGTTTTCATCAAGACCTTTCAACAAAGCACACTTGTTAGAGACTTATATTTATTTATTTATAGCAACCTTCTCCTAATTTCAACAATCAGTTTAGCCAACAGCAGCCAGATATGAAATTTGTGATATACGCTACATATTTTTGCGATCTAATAGTAGTTTTGTACTTTTCTGCCGTATGTCTCTGATTTTGATGTTAACCATATAAAATCGGGGCACCACTGTGAAAAGACAACTCCAAACTTCTGGATTGGAGAAGACAATTAGAGGCTAAACTTTCATTGTTTTCAGTAAATAGGCCTATCCGTTCCACCAAGCATTCACGGTTATGTGCTATCTGTTGTGATGACTTCAAGGAAGACATGATTCAATGTCTATCGTGTAAAGTGTGAGTTCATGAGAAATGTGCTGGTGTGAAAAGGGGATTAAAATGTATTATTGCGGAAAATGCAACTGAACTCATCAAGAACAAATGACTGACGCAGTAAATTTGTGTAAGATTTATAGCCTAATATTAATAGTAGGCTTAATAATTATTTTATACTATTTGAAAGTATTCACGTTATGGTTAGTATCCTTTTTTATACTAACCTAACTACAAATTACGTTCAAATTCTTATTTTCATTAAATTGTTTATAACGAAGGAAATCCAATGTTATTTCGTAGATTCTAGCATTAGGCCTATTTTATGATTATAAAGACTAAACTAAAATCCATCTTCTTATTCTTTGTGAATAAAGCGAAACTATCAGTATGTTTCAATGTATTTTCAGGGGCCTGTGCTAATTTCTAACCAGCATTTTACATTTAGGAATCATGCTCAAAATAGTTTTAAACATTTTATTGGCTTTCATTAAGACGATACTGTATTTTAAGAAAATAGTTACTTTCGCATTTAAAGAAACTCTCCGGCCTCAATGAAGGCGACCGGTTTCCTTCATTGGGCCAGTGCAACCTATTTTTATTTTTCTAATATTTACTGAACATTTCATAATTATTACGTCTAGTCCTAGACATGTGTAGCATGGAAAGTAATAGTTATATTAACGTGTACAAAACTGTAAAATTGCTAAATTTGACGATTTTAAGGATCATTTTGTAAAAGTGGCCCATCGATAGCAACCTTCTCCTAATTTCAACAATGTTACGGCACACTACAATCATAAAACTCTCTTAAAGAGCTCTAGAACATAAAGCAAAAAGAGTTCTACGTTAAAACAATTTTAAATGTAAAACAATGCTTTACGAGATTTATTCTATAGTTAGCAAAATTTAATGGCGACTTTTGTGAATTTAACACTATTGATTAAGGGCATACATTCATTTGTGTAACATGCTTCCAAAGGGACTCACCCATGAAACCAGAAGTCCAGGGGTTCTCCGCCGGTCTTGGAACATGTGATACTTCTTGCAGAGGACTGCAAAATTTGCAGGTGCACGCTTCTAATCGCAAATTACTGCTATAAGATGTTTTGGGCTCTCTTTTCAAAGATGGGTATGGAGTACCATAGGACGTTTCAAAGACTCCTGAATTCCAATCAATGGATGCAGAACGAGAAGTAGATGGCTTGGAAGCTTGCACTGGTAACGTGTTTGTTTCAACAATGCTAGGTAATGGATCAGTATCTGGAACAAACTGTGGATTATTCGGAACATACTCGGGACTGGAGGTCGTTTTTCCATTGCTGGTAATGCTGGGATCCCAAGCAACTAAAGATATTGAAAATGTTTCATTAGATGCAGTAAGGATCACTAGTAAAAAGTAATGCACTTCTAGGTTGTTATGTTCTTTCATTTGTGCTGTCATAGATTGAAAAGCTTTAGTTGACCTAAAACAGCTCAGTGAAAAATATTTAACAGCTTTGTAACGAGGGGTACTCAAAAATAGCTGGAATCATTTTTAAGCAATTATATTATATTTTTCACCTACACATTTTAGTTTCCCTTAATATGCTGATTACCGGCATCGATGTACTTTTTCCAACATTTTGCCCACAGCTAGAACTATGGAAACGGTTCTAGAACTCCGCGTAAAGAGCTCAAGGCAAGCAATGTACCTTCTTGATTCTGATCTTCATAATTGAATTCCTTTACTTCATCCATTGAATTACGTTTTCAAAGCTTTCTTTATTCGTTGAAACAGAAAACAGTCGCACTGACAAGAAGATTTATCGAGTGGCATGAGTAGAATACAAGCACCATCTTGTTCTTCCCAAGAGCAAACGCATGGGAACATGTTCTGCAGAAACCTTGTGAATTATCTTTCAAAGTTGCTCATTAGCAGCCTGTCACACTTTCTCAACGTTTTCCTCCTTTTTGCTCGATATGGATGTCCAAGCTATAGGAGTTTTCATTTGATATTTTGCTACTTTTGATTTGGAAAAACACGCGTAAACTTGTGATTTAGTCAAAAACTGTCTCTGAATATTTGCCAAAGCATATACCCAGTTTTCGCCCCTATTTTTCTCAACAAAAAACGAAATTTCACATATATTATTCGTTCTTTGTGGTCACACACCACAAAATGACAGAACGCGGTGAGCGGGAACACAAATAATCAGCACTGAAGACGAACCACTCTACTCCTATTAATTGCACTTAGCAAATAGGTGCAGAAAGTCTGAAGTCAACAAGAGCTTATTTACACAATACATAATTATTTAATGCTGACTTACACAGTTGTTATTCCTATTATTATGAGGTACCCATACAAAATTACTTCCAGTGTTCTTATTGCTGTGATGGTCGCTAAGCCAGTCATTGCTAAATCACTCAGAGAGCTCTTTTTTTAATGGCGGACTTCGGACACCGCTAAGGCTAGAAGTGGCCGTCATTTTATTTTGCAGACACTGCCTCCTATGAAGGAAAAGACAGTTTACATCCATGCCTTCTCCGGGATTTGAACCCTGGTCGTTTGGTAAAGCAGTTAGAGTCATTAACTGCTTTCTCAACAGGGCGCCTCAGGTTTCCCTTAGAAAGTCCTTAACGAAGGCATCCCTTCCCTTAGGCAGATAGCCCTAGTGTGCTTTGCCGTAATTAAATAAACCAAACCAACCCTCTTATTTAAACAGTGTTAGCAAATTCTTAAGTAAACGCTTCTTTTTCTAATATAGGAGATGTTGGTACTGTAGTATTCTCTGCTTTGTGTAATTCTCCCCTGTTGCTTTGTAAACATACAAAATTAAGATATATTCATGCGTTAATAATATTTCAATGTAAATCGGTAAAAGGTCGATCTGTTATATTCTCGCTCTCCATAAAAAGTTTTCTTTCATTCAATAGAAGTAACTTTCATTATAAGCTATGTAACAAACGCACATGTTTTGAAGTTACGATTTAAATTTATTGGCTTATCGAAAAAAGTAGTTTCTTATCCTCTGTTTGGTATACAATATTCAGATTTTTGAAAACATGGAACATAATTTTGTACCTGACTCATCTAAGTTAAATGTCTTTAAATTTTTATATTTAAGAGAAAGCACAGAGATATCTGAGCAATATCATGCACTCATGAGGAAAATAGTTTCTGAATCTGTTCTTAAAATACGATTTAAAATTGTTGCCTAAGCATATACTACTTTAATGATAAGTGCCTTGTTTCACGTTAGGATACATATACCTTCTTTCATCTGCCATATTTTAATTTTATAGGAAGTCTAATCCTAGAGTTACCAGATTTCACACCACATTATTATTGAATAAGCCTTCAAATGGTATAGAATTTCATTGATTCCTTCAATTAAAAACTACAATAAAATTATAATCAATAAAAAATAATCAATATGAAATGAATGAAAAAAAGGAAGAAAAAACTAGTTAGTACTTTTCAAATGATCATTTGCAATTATTTGAATGACATTACGTTTCCGAAGATATTATATGTTTCCTTTCCAATTGCTTCTTCTCAAAAGTTCTCATGATGGCATACTCTTTTTTAATATTTAATTCTAAAATCTAATTTAAAAACACAATATTTAAACAAATGTTTTCCAAATAGGAATCCCTACTTAGAGCAGAGGCTCCACTATATGCGGGGAAGTAACAAAATGTTCGTGCATTTAAAAGAAACATGATTTTATATAACTTACTTAAATATTTTTTTTTTTTTTTTTGAAGGCGTTTTTTAGCGTAATTTCAAAGCCTCTCATTTAATGCATTTCTTCAAATGAAGAAATTTAGTGCTTATTGCTCTGACGACAAGATTTTTTTTCCCAATTGCAGTTTAAAAAGTTAATCTGGTTCAAGCTCTAATTTGTCCTACTTAAAGAGCGTCTCGGATAAGAATGAGATAAATTTGAGATTTTTTTTATATATGAAATTAAAACTCGCGTCAGATTATTATTCAGTTAATTGTTTTCCGATGTACCCGCTTAAATATCTGAATAAATTGTTTTTTGGACTACTTGTGAAGATTGGCTCTGTTCATGCATCATTACTGTTTTTTTTAATTGGCTTTAGTAAGCGAAGATAAATTCCTTGAGTCAAGTTTTTTAACTCTTTCATTGAAATACTCGTTTATAATAATGATCCGAAAACTTTCGATATGTGTAACTGGAATAGGTTGGAGGAATTGTTTGATTTAGACTCAAACTCAGTTTTCTTCTTGCTCAAATAGCTGACAACACCTTTTGTATAATGCTTGCCAGTTAAATTCGTCCAAAACAAAGCATCTCCATTTGATGATGCTGTTTGATGGAAGGAATTAACTCCTTTTAGTGCGTTGATTTTAATAAACAGAGCAGTTGACTGTTTATTGAAAGACATCTGAAAGAAGACTGGTTTAGAAACATAGCTGTCTTCGTCTACAGCGAGCCTATGCTTATGTTTTTTGAGATTCTTTTAATTAGGTTTCATTCTGAAGTGTAGCAGGATATTAATTCGGGAACAGTAAACGATGACGCTTAATGCTGCTTCTGAGAACTAAGCATAAGCATCTTTGATGAATTTTTGTACACTTCTGAATACAACCATTTGCTTATGAATTTTAAAGCAAATTAATTTTGCAAATTTCCTAACCTTTTTAGTGTTTGGGAATTATCTATGTCGTACAAGAATTCAAGATAAATTTCTGTTGTTCATGAGCCACTGATTTTGACATGAACTCTTTGTTTCTTTTTTGGTCCCTTTTCACAAAGTTTTGTTGGTTATCAACATGTTCGTACTTTTCATATTATTTCAAATCATAATAAATGATTGCTTTTGATGTCTTATAGTTTTTGTAACATTTGAATATAGCAATTGTGCTTCTTTTACCACCACGATTATAAAGGCTTACTATTTTTTATTAATAACATCATTAAGTGAAATGCCATTTTATAAATCTAGTATTTAACTGAAACAACTGTTGCCAAGGAAATGAATCGTTGTTTATCCTAGCAACTTGCAATATTTTCGTATCTATATTTATTAATTCATATTTCATAAATATAGATTTCTTATTCTTATCTGAGATGCTCTTTATCTGACATCAGCTTATATTTGGCTTTTCTTTAACATGAAGTGTTCCTCTTTGTGGAAAAAAATACGAGATTTCAAATGATGCCATTAGGACAATCTAAAAAACTCGATAAAGGAGGAAAGATGATTTTTCACAAGTATTATGAGTAGTCGACATATTTCCTGAGGAAATGATGGCGATTATTTTAAAGCATGTTGAGCAACTAAGTTTCCAAAGTACAACATAAATCAGTTATATAGTTTCTACGAAATTAGAAGGACTTATTGGATTATTGTGTGAAGCTCAGTTTCGATATCTTCCAGTTCCTCGTTATGCAATTGTAAAAGACTAAAGATTTCAGTAATTTAAGAATCTGCACACTTACCATTTTTACTGTCAATATTCCAGTCTTCTTTCTCAGTTTGAATGTACTGGAATATAAGTTATGACATATGTAATATAGAATTAAAATTTCCAACGAACAAAATTACTTTTTAAAAATACGTTAGGAATTCAGATAAAAATATAAAATCGTCTGAATAACTTTGATACATTTGTCTACTTTAAGTTTCTTATAAAAGCTGTTTGTAGGATTTTTTAAAGATAACTTTTATTATCTTGTAAGGTTAATATTTAAACTAAGCAGTTGTTATGATTTTGATCTTTACTATAACTTTCCCTTTCCTTATTCTTCACCAGAATGGAAATGAGGTAGCCAGTATTTGAACTAAGGTTTCTGGATTTTAAGAAAGAGCGTGTGTTAGTTTCCTGCCAGCTCTGATAAAATGGTTTCGAGTACACGCTATGTGTTAGTTTCCTGCCAGCTGTGATAAAATAGTAATCATTCGACTTTTCCATCGCAGACGACACCTTGATTTTAAAGCTTCGGAAGAATTACAGAACCAGAATCGAGTAATATTTAAATTGTGTAGTCTTTGACTACTGTTATATGTTTAACTTAAATTTGACTATTCTGTTTCTTTTAGTTGTATCTCCATCAGATGTGGCTGATATTGTTAGCACAAAGAAGTGCGTTTATTTTCTAAATTTTGTTTAAATAAAAAGTTTATTTAAATCATCTTAAGATTTTGAAGTTACGTAACGATAATTCGCAGAAGACAGACAGAGATACATAAATCAGACATAGCGATAATTCGTTTTAAGTCTGTTGTGGTTATTGGACTAGTTTAAATTTTTTTAATTAAGCATTTTTTTTAAATATATGTTCTTGATTTTGAAGACCCATGCACGATTCTCAGTACGTGCAGTTAAAATACACTCTTGGCAATCATTGCACTCGATAATAAATTATTTTTGCTAAAATGACGAGCTGATTCTAGTAGTTACAGAAAAATACAGTGTGCAACTTGATGATTATGGCAAAAGATACGGCTTGAAGTCAAATGTTGATACCTCCTAACCCTCAGTTTTTCATATTATTTTCAAATATTAAAGTGCAAAAGTTTGTGCAAAGTGATAGATGATATCAAAGCTATTCCAGTCTTATTGAGGAAAAAGGATAAAATGTAAATTAAAAAATTGAATCCTTCATATTTAATTATTAATAATATAGTATGATACCACATAATAATGTTATCAATAGTCTAATTAATCAAGCATTATTAATGTTCGATAAGAAAAAACACTCGTTGCAATTTTAAGAAAGGTTATTAAATAGAGCCAAACGCGTATTGTCTGAATCAAAAATTTTGCTACTTTGAAATTAAAGAAATTAACAAGTTTTACTTAAACATTATGCGCCATTAAATATTAAACTGAATTATAAGCGATTATCATTATTATTAATATATTCTTTACGATAAATAAATTGCATACAGAATTAATACAGTATTTCCCTTCATTAGTTACGTATGTTCTCTAAGAATATATGTAGCATACAATATAATAATGCATATAAAAATATGCGTGGAAGCCTTTTACATTTTTAGTGCTTTAAAAAATATTGGATCTTTTTCTTAAGAGGTTAGTTAATTTTAGGGCAGGTTCATACAAACACCTTTCGTTTGGCGGGTTATGAAAATTGGGCTCACCTCTCATTTTAATACTCAAACAATTTTCATTAGTAATTTGCTCCAAAGTCCAGAATTATCTTCAGATAAATCAATTACGATATTGTAAACAACTCATCCATTTTGTTCTCCATAAAATGATTAAAATGTTATTAACGAAATAAGTTAGAAATTATCACTACAGATATTTTCCTAAATTATGCATTAATTGTATTAAGATAAAATAAATAAAAGCGTGTGATAAAAAAGTAGCAAAACCTGGCTGGTTGTGTCTTCTTGCTTAATGCCAGAATTAAGAAACTCTCGTCTTGCAGCTGTTTTATTTTTCAGACGATTCTGTTTTTGCAGTCGTGCTTCTCTAGGACTGTAGATATAATCTAAAAGAACATGATTATAATTAGAGCTTAGTATGCCATTCATGAAGGTAAATGATACTTAGGTTGTAAGATTGATTTTATGTTAATTAACCAGTTAATTGACTTGTGCTATAACATTTTCCTTTCGTAGTCTTCAACAGAATGCAAATTAGTATTGTGTATTTAAGCCGAGGGCTTGAATGTTTGGCATTTAAGTTTTAGAGCTTCTGGCAGCCTTACCTTGCTGTTATTTACTATCACCAGCTCTTGCCTAAGTCAAAGAATTCACTTCCAGTTTTGGCCTCTTACAAGTCGACGTTTAAAATACGCGTCGCTAATCATCTTAGCCACCTTAAGTAGCCTGATTATGTATAGTCTCAAACTATGTTAACTACAATCGTGTGCAAAATTAAGAGAATTGCACAGTATGTCGAATTTCTGAAAAACTAACGGGCAGATTTTAATAAAATTTAATATGAATATACATATCTAGCAGAAAACGAGAATCCACGTTGCGCTATCGAAATGAAAATGCGTCTAATATGAAGTATGGTTCCCTGGCACAACCTGAAATGTCACGTAACGTGACAACATACTGAACAGAAGTAAGTTGAGGAGTCTCTGTAGCAGTCGATCCCACTCCTGGAGCAAGGAGGTTTCAATTATGAAATGGTTCTCGGAGGGGGATGGTGAGATGAAATTGCCCTTCCAAGAGTATTCAGACATTCTGTATAGGACTAAGGCCAGGAGATCCAGCTTAGATAAGCCATGCGGCAAATATATTCACTTTTCCAGTAAACGTCGACCAACTGAGTTCTATGTGGATGAGATTAGTCATCTATTAACAGGAAACCAGGACCAACTGATTTCCTCAAAAGTCGAACACAGCGTTCTAAGATCTCTTCTCTATTCCTCATAGCAGTCAGACAGTCCGTGTCAAGCACATCCATGAGTTTGCGACAGTCCAAAATTAAAGCCTGCCCAAACCATCACCCCTCCAACACAGCAACGATCCTTTTCTCTGATGAGGGAGGGATAGTATCGTATTCAAAGCTCTCTATAGATGCAGGTAAGCGATAAGCGATAAGCAACGGAGGACGTGGGCACTGTCCCTTTACCAAAAGGTTAATCGGTATAGCACCACGTCCACCTATATCTAGAGCCTAAAGAGGAATCACAAGACGCCACGCGCCGGGCGCCCAAACCCAGAGCCAAATTCAACCCGGGGGCAGTCCAACAGACCAAATGCCCTCGAAGACAGTCCCAACAACCGCCCAGGCCCCACATTTATTAAATAAAATAACAAAAGCATGCAGGGCCAAAAAGGGCGAGTTTGGACAATAAGCAAAAATTTTACAAAGGTGTTGTAATACACACAAATATAGAATATACATAAGCTAAAGTACAGTCTGATGTTGGGCAGCCCAATAATATACAATGAATAAAATATAGACAGTAGAATTAGACTTAATGACAATATAACATAAAAATAGAGAACATAGTGAAATAATGAATGTAAATGATTACAGCAATACAGAGAGGATATACCAAAGAAATAAAAATAAAGAATACAATGTAACAGAATGCAATAGCGGTACAATACACTTGATCACGTGGTATTGTGGGAAAAAACATGCAATAAGGCTAATTATACGATTATGAGGAATAAAAATAACATATTTAGCCTGCATAAAAGTTAACGAATATAAGATACTATACAATACTATACAATATTACAATACAATACAATACAAAAAAAATTAACATATTTAACCTGTACTAAAAGACAACTGATATAAGATACTATACAATACTATACAATACCACAATACAATACGATACAGTAGATACAATACCACAATATAATACGATACAGTAGATGCTATACAATACTATACAATGAAAATACAAAATACATTCAGTGTTGGTGACACAAAAATACATTTAAAATTGTCATGACACTAGTGATGAAAATACAAAATACATTCAGTGTTGGTGACACAAAAATACATTTAAAATTGTCATGATACCAGTGATCCTAATGCAGCAAATAAATTGATGCAGTTACCTGCATAAAAGATAACTTATATAAGATACCATACAATACTATACAATACTACAATACAAAAGCTAATTAAACGATTATAATGAATAAAAATTAACATATTTAACCTGTATAAAGCCAATTGATATAAGATACTATACAATACAAAAAAAATACCATAATACGATACGATACAGTAGATACTATACAATACTATACAATAGAAATATAAAATACATTCAGTGTTGGTAACACAAATATACATTTAAAATTATCATGACACTTGTGATCCTTATGCAGCAAATAAATTGATGCAGACAGTTAAATGTGTTACTATACATTTGCAAAGGATGAAATATAGACTTAAGTATGCCACAAATTATGAACATATATTATACCGTGAAAACACAAAATACATTCAATGTTGGTATAAATACAATGGATATATTTAAAACAATGGATAATGGTTGGATATATTATACAATGAAAATCTCTAGCGACCCCAATACATTCAGTGTTATTATTACACAGAGAATTAAATGTATGATATTACATGGGCAACTGATGAAAAGAAGACAGTAACAGTATAATGTGTAGCCAAATATGCAAGTATATGGTATACCGATGTTTAACAGCAACTGGCAAACAATGTACCATTAATACGCCCAACTAAATATGCCAAGATATTATATACTATTATACAGTGAAAAACGCAAAATACGTTCAATGTAGATATTATCATAGTGCATTATGAGGGAATACAGACAGTTATATGTTTGATAATACATGGGTAAAAGATAAAAATAAAGACAATAACATTATTATTCATAGGTAAATATGCAGATTTAATATATTCAGATATTTAACAGCACCTAGTATAAAATGTACCATAAGTACATTGATAGCTGCTATGGACAACAAAGAGACTATTAGGACAATACATATGCAACAGATAAATATGCAAATTCAATATATACAGATATTTAACAGCACTTGATAATAAATGTGCATATGCAAAAGATAACATTATTATTCATCGGTAAATAGGCAAATGCAAGATATACAGATACTAAACAGCACCTGGTATTAAATGTACCATAGGTACAAACAAGGACAGTTGTTATAGACAATATTACCTGGTTGCACTTAGAAAAGATGCTGAGAGAGAATATACAAATATTTGACTGCTGCTATACACAGCGACTTATAACAGATGGATTACAATAGATTACAATGGTTACAAACACTTCAGAGCATAAAAGTAGATGGGTTATAATATATACAAGCAGTTGAAGAAGTTGAATCATATGTCGATATTATAAGGCACAAAGATCAAGTCCCAGATTCATCAGTTTGTCAATTAAACGGACTATCTTTTTGACTTGATGCCGTTGCTTAATCAAAAAAACGACTAAAGGCAGTCCTATCCGTTGGTGGAAAAGGAATATGGAATTCAGTAGTAAGTGGACAATCGATTAGATAGTGTTCTGGATTGCCCAGTTGTCCACAACTACAGAGTGCTGAGGAAGAGAGTCCATGTCTCTCGAAATATAAGGGAAAAGGCCCGTGGCCCGTAATGTAGAAGATCAGCTGTGGTGGCATGATTAATCGGTCTAAATCTACTTTAGGGACATGGGCAAATGCTCGGCGACCAGTTTTTCCTCCGAACTCCATGCATTTTGCCACAAGGAGATGGCTGTGAGAAGTAAGTGACGCTTTAGATTAGATACTGGGCGTGAAACCGTCAAGGTCTGTGTTATCTCGTGATTCTGTGCTGCTTCTTTAGCAAGCCTATCGACAGTTTCATTACCGTAGTTCCCCACATGAGCTTTTTGTCCATTCTAAACAAATGTGTAGATTTTTATGTCGAGACAAGCTAGTTTGAATGTCCACAATAATGGGGGATGAATGCAGAGGATTTAAAATGGCATACAATGTGGAGAGACTATCGGTAAGAACATAGGAATGTGAATATCGATGATTAATGATTGTTTGTATTGCTTGTCGAATAGCAATAGCCTCACTCTGGAAGACGCTGTTAAAAGAAGACAGATGGCATTTCCACTGGTGAAGAGTTGTCTGATCTTGCAGTATGGCTATATATGCACAGCCAACCTGATCTTCCAATTTAGAGCCATCAGTATAAAAGACCAGATCAGCATGAGAAACTTGATGACTCGGTTTGAGATTAACTTTAACTCCCGTACCATAGAGGGAGGGGTGTTGATCTTCTCTGTTTATTGCTGCTTCGTAATCATGGGAGGAGAAAGAGTGATCTCCAAACTGAACTGAACAGCCAAGTTGTCTAATCAACTGATAAGCTGCGTCCTTTTCAACCGCAATAGGTAAAGGCAAGACTCCAGCTGCAACTGCGAGGGCGTTAGTTGGTGATGTGCGGAAGGCACGAGTGATATTTAAGAGAAATGGTCTCTGTATACTATTTAAATGTCGGACTTTGCGTCCTTGCATTGGTGCTGCCCAAATTGCAGCACCATATGAAACAATCTTTTCAGTTACTGTTGCATATAAAACTTTAAGAAGATGTGGATTTAAGCCCCAGTGGATTCCCTTCATAAGTTTAAGGCGTTGAGCAATCACAGCAGTACGCTTCTTGAGATCTAACACATGGGGAATCCAATTGAGTTTGTCGTCGAAAATAATTCCAAGGTATTTAAGTTCACGTTTAATACGAAGACGCTTGCCATTTATGGTTTATTCTCGGCTGACGAGTCATAGAACCACCCTTCTTAGGAATGATCAGAATTTGCGATTTCTCTTCAGAGATTTGCAATTTAAAATCTTCACATCTAGTCTGAAACAAAGAACAGGTCTCCTGTGAGTTTGCTTGAAGTTGATCACGAGTCCTACCTCGCACTATGAATGCGGTATCATCGGCATAAGTAACCACAGTTGTATGTTCAGGCCATGGCTGCTTAAGGATAAGATTGTATGTCACATTCCAGAGAAAGGGGCTCGCACATGAACCCTGCGGGCACCCTCGAGTCTGACATCTATGTACCAGGCCTCCATTATAGGAAATGATCAAATGTCGATCGGACAGATAATGTGCAAGAGTATTATATAAATTGTGGGGGCAATTGGCATCTCTTAATGCATATAGAACTGCCGGCCACCACAAGCGTATCGAAGGCGCTCTTTAAATCCACTGAGATAAACGCTGTGTGGTGGCCGGAGAACTTATTGCGCAGGATGGTATCTTGAACTTCCTTTAAAGCGTGCAGTGTTGATCTCTTTTGGTGCGAAAACCGTATTGAAAAGGACACAGATAATTTGTTGAGTGCAAATGAAATCTCAATCGTCCCATAAGAAGTTTTTCAAAAGTTTTGCCAAAAGCTGACAACAACAAACAAATAGGGCGATAAGAATCGGCACGGGCTGGATCACGGTGTTTCTTTAAAAATAAGATCACCTGGCCAATTTTAAAACATTGAGGAAAAGTTCCACTATTGAATAGCTTATTAAACAGGCTTTGGAAGAGACTGAGATTGGTGCTAATAATCAATTTGACAATACGATAGTCAACACCATCTGGACCCGGTGCGCGCTTATTAGGGAGTTGGCGTAAGACTTGCCGAATTTCTTGAGTAGTAAAAATAACATCGTCTGGTGTTTGAAGACTAGAAGTTTGATTTCGAATAGTCTGATGAAAGGAGGAATCAGTTGAATTATCATCTGTAGAAAAAACCCGTATCAAGGACTTCTGATAGAGTTGATTCAGTCAGGTGACTATTAGGACTAACTGTAGGTAAAAGATGGAAAGTTGCTGGCTTAAACAGCTTGTCGGTCGCAATCTTATGATGAATACCATAAACAGATGTTGTCTCAGAACAAAATTTGCGCCAGCTAGTTAATTTGGCACGTATAATCATTTGTTTGTAACATGCT